GCAAGTGGGGCAGTGAGAGGGAAATTGGGGAAGAGAAAGCGAACGAGGGGCGGAGAGGGGAGAACATGGGGCGGAGCGAGGGAACGAGGGGCAGAGAGAGGAAAGGCGAGGCATAGAGTATGGGAAAGTGGGGCATAGGACGGAAAGGGATGCACTGAGAGAGAGACAGCGGGGAGATGAGGTGCGATCTGATGCACCTAACTACTAAACCCCCCCGCTCCCCCCACCCTCCCCCGCCCCCCTCCCTTCCCCACCCCACCCGCCTCACACCCCCAAAACCGACCCTTATTGCATCTCGTACGTGCAGACGCTACAAGATTCTCAAGGCAGTGACTCCTGCGTCTCTGCTGCGACTCCCATCCGCATGGGCGTACTTCACCACGACGGCCTGCTTCTCAGCGTCGGAGCACCGTGCCATGATGCAAGTGCTGCCCCTCATCATCGACCTCCCCAAGCGCGCCGATATTCGACATGCCGTCACGATCATGTCGGAATGGTACAAGGAGTTTATCCGGGCAGAGTATCATACCGATGCCACGCTTGAGCACATGGAGGAGGTCTCTTGCGAGTAAGTCTAGTGTGAATGGATATGTGTGCCTTGCGCACAGGGAAGGAGGGACAGTAAGGCTGAAGGGATCAAGAGAGGGATTAAGGGGCCGTGTGTGGGAAATAAGGGGCTGAGAAAGGGGGAAGAAGGGCAAAGATAAGGAAAGGGGGGCAAAGTGAGGGAAGCAGGGGCAGAGCGAGGGAAAGAGGGGCCGGGAGAGGGAAAGAGGGGCCGGGAGAGGGAAAGAGGGGACGGGAGAGGGAAAGAGGGGCTGGGAGAGGGAAAGAGGGGCTGAGGAAGGGAGAGATGCGCTGATAGAGGGAAAGAGGGGCATAAAGACGAGAGGAGGGGCCCAGAGTGAGGGAATGGAGGGGCAGTTACAGGGAAGGAGGGGACGAGGGAGGGGGGGGTGGGGGGGAGGAGATGAGAGGAGGGGTGAGGGGATGAGAGAGGGTAGTAACTCTTGAGAGTGGGGTTGGGGCAATGTATGTTGTTAGTAGCTCGAATGTATGTATTATGTTTAATCACTCTAAACACCGCCCCACCACCCCAATGCCCCAATCCCGTATCTTTCAATCCACTCGAACACATCCCATTCAGGATGGTCGATGCGCTTGTCCTAGCGTTTGACAACCAGAAGTCGAAGTGGCTTATTATCAAGGTACATCTTGTATCGCACCTGCCACCGACGATCCGTGCATGGGGATTGCCACAGGAGTACTCGTCGAACCGGTACGAGCAGTCCCACAAGACAACAGTGAAGCGCCCTTCCCGTGGCACCAACTGGAAGGGTGTGGAAGATCGCATTGTGAAGAAGCATATCGAGCAAGCCGTTGTTCGACAGCTGTCTAGGGCCTCCGGCGGGGACAAAACCTACGAGACAGCCATGAAGGAGGTGAGCCTGTGTACACATTGAAATCGATCTTGCCCACCAAAGGTCCCCGCAAGCTCCTTCCGCATGCTACCCTCTATAACCTATTGTTTTGGCCTAAACACTGCCTCTACTCCTGAGCCCAATTGGTCCCTCCTCTTGCTAAGCTGAACCATTGGCATTCCGTCTTGAAGCCCTGCTCCCACACTTGTTAACTAGTGGACCTTCCTCCAGCTGCCCGCCTTGACATCCCGTTCCGTGTGGACATGCTCCCCATGTCGTCCACCCTAACCCTTCCTCCAACTGACCCCTTTGACATCCCGTTTTGCATCCACATGCTTACCATCTTGTCCACCCATCAACCTACCACTAGCTGCCACCCTTCACATCCCGTTTTGCCACCACATGCTCCCCCACTTATCCACCCATGACCCTCCCCCGGCCCCATCTGTTATCCATCGTTATGCCCCCCAATGCTCCCCCACTAGTCCACCCGTGAACTTCCGTCCTGCTAAACGCGTAGCCCCCTCGTTCTCCCCCCCATAAACCCATCTGTCCATCCATGACACTTCCTGAACCCTCCTGCCCATTTGTCTTTCCTTCGCCCTCCCTTGATTTCCACTTGTCCACCTATGCTCCCTCCTCTTGCTGCACCCTTTGACCTCTCGAATTCCCCCACTCCACTCTCCCGTTTGTCCCTAATCCCTGCTCCCTCTCACTGCTGCCCCCATTGTACTCAAGTGCTACCCCTATCTTGCTGCCCCCCATGTACATCATGCATCCATCACCCTCCTACCCAGGCTTGCATGCTTGGGCGTCGGGCGCTGACCAAGACACACAAGAAGATGACCGTGGGGCAGATCACGGATGATGTGTTCAGGAGCTATGTCCTTGTTCACGGAGATGAAGCGATGGGCTGCTTGAAGAAGCGGCTGGCCAAGGAGGGAATCCGCGACCAAGTGCTCAATGTGAGAATCAATACAGAGCACAGTGCAATGCAAACTGCCACTGCCACATAGTCCTGTTAAACGCGGGCAGCATCGTTGTAATGGGCCCAAACCAGGCATGTCATCCTGTTGTATCAACGCACCAGTCAGCACCCCATCCCTAAAAACCCTAACACAACCTTCCATTATTGTGCTGCGATCCCTGCTTGCCTATTCGCAGGTGCACACTGCCATGGCAATCCCGCCGCACGACAAGATGGAGTGGACCGAGAAGGGGCAGTTTGTCAAAGCAAGCCCTTCTAAAAAGCACTTTTCAGATGTAGCCATAAATCCAGCTGGCAAGGGGGCCAACTGGTACGGCCGCTGCTTGATGTTGTTCCATTACGTGAAAGATGGCATGGCAAAAAAGGCCGCCTACATCGAGTATTACACGGAGGATCAGCGTGTCTGCCGGTACACTGGCTGGAAACGACTGTTGCTAAAGAAGGGCCCCTACAACTATGCAGTTGTAGATGTAGATTGCATTCTTAGCATCGTGCATGTTGTCCCATGTTGCAAAGACTCTGATGTGAAGCTTCTCAATAGGTTCATCTGGTGATACAAATAAAATTGCTACAGTGTCAATGACCTATAACCTATTTTGATTGTGATACGCACTTTTAAGCAAACTTATTATTGTCTCAACAATTAACGTCTGACAAACAAACCATTGAAACATTGCAAAACCATTACCAAAACATCCGCAAATCATTTGGTCTGACTAAAATGCTATACAATTGATATTCAGATGGTTCCTGGATGATTGTCAAACGATTTTTGGAGACCTGCATTAAAAAAAAAATGGTCAGATAATTTCCAGATGCACACATTTTTGTGATGAAATTAAGTTTGTGACTGACGATTCTGTACTAAGTCGTTTGTTGGGGCTCGTTTGTATCTTCATACGACTTCAACACTAATCACAATATTTCTTCATTGCTCTTAAGCATGACTCCCGTTGCAAACAGAAGCGACTTCTTTATACCCCCCTCCACTCCACACCCCCCCCCCCCCTCCCCCGCCCCCCCGCCATGATCGCGGAAACGGCAATCTGCAATTCTGGGTGTTCATAAGTTATGAGCACCTGAAGTCGCAACACTGCAATTCTCCTTCTAAGCCAGTTTTGAGGTGAAAACGTTGAAAATCTACGTTCAAACAGGAACTTGCAAACAGATCAAGTGCCACATGATTCGTATACAGATGGTGATGCATCGTCGACCACAATCTCTGTATGAATTACTACGTTTGCACAACTCAACAACACCTTTTTTCGTGAAAAGGCTACTCCGTGACGGACCCATTGACTCTCGAATGACCAGGGCGCGTGACACAAAGGTGACCTACATCGCGAAAAAGGGCTAACCATAAAGCTGCGAGAATGTTGCAAAAAGGATACTTTTTGGATACCTTCGTTTTGCAACTTTCCAGTTATGGTCAAATGTTGCAGAAATGCGGATTGCGAAATTCTTGCAAAAAAGTTGCCCTTCCGCAACGTTTTTGCAACTCTCTTGCAACAAACCTGCAAACCTGCAGCCACCATTCCGCAACATTCCGCCCAACTTCAAGTCACTAACAGCCTGCCGTGCAGTTGCGTGCATGTTGCCGAAAGATCACCTCCATGTTGCCACCGATTAGTTACAACATGGCGCCACCGTGGCAACGAGAACCGTACTCGGATCTGATCCCGTACGCTGTAGGCCATGAAACGTACACCAACCAGGCTCCAGCACGTGTGTGCTATCTACTGGCACACGGCATGGTAACCCCGCTTCGTCCACCACTTTACTGCATACGCGGACACCTTCGTGCACCACTAGCGCGCATTCGCGAACCTGACAACGCCCAATCCCAGCACGACATCAAACACTACCGCGCGCGTCACGGAGCACACTGTTGGGCTGCATGTTCCGCACACCACCTCCACGCCCAATCAAGCCGCAGTAGAGCGTAACGCAGTGACATCACTGGATACCGGGATTGGCTCCAACCGCCGTCGCCCGCGTATTTCGCTCCATCGCAACCCCACTGTTTTCCGCACACTCCTCACACGCCACCCAATCAGCGCGCACTCCGAACACTGCCGGATACTTCGCCGCAAAGTTACCCACGCCTCGTACACCCAATGTGCCACATTGCACACACGGGTCACGCATGCATCCTGGCTTCATCTCAACTAGACGGCGGTATTGGCGGCGTGAATACCAACCGTCGATCCCACCGCTGCGCGCCGTCGTACCACCACCCGATCGCGACACGGTAAGGTATCCGTTTACTGCCGAATTGTACGCGCTATTGCGAGCTTTGCGCGCTGCTTGCGCGCGTATAGCACACCATGTTACGCCACACAAGTATGTGCGCTTACAAGTGATTTATTCAATGTCGCAATACACCACAACATCGCACACATCACACCCAGGTTGCTACACAACAGACCGTCGCCAATTATGTCCACACACTACCGCTTGACGCCGTCTTACTACATCCCCACCCCGTCGAACGCTAACCCCACAAACGTATATCCTTCTAACATGCATGAAATACAAAGAGTGGAAGCCCATGTCCATGTACAGGGTTTAGGGACGCCTCACTACCAACTTCAGTCAGTGCCCAGAGAAACCGAACCACCGTCTTCCACGATTGGCGCCCTCTGCGCGTAACGGCCTGGAATCAAGTGCTCTAGCCCGCACGAGGACAGCATCAGCCCGTGCTCCCCCCATACCCACGCCTGGGCATCAGCATCGTACTTGGGCTTGAAGTCTTGGATCGCCTGCGCCACTGCCCCCTCAGCGACTTGGTGGAGGCCGTTCACCACCTCCGCGTTGCCACCAGCAGAGTTTGATAGGCGGGCCTTGCGCTTGTCCCAGTTAAGAACCGTGTCGGTAACCTGCGTGAAACAACAAACATATCCCACACACACATCACTCCCGCGCACGGGTGGGCTGAACGGGGATTGAGATGCAACTCACCACATGCTCGAGCCACGCCATCTGGTACAGTTTCACGGTCACCGCTCCCGTGACCTTCTTGGGCTGGAAGGCGGTCACGGCACACGCCGTGAACGCTCCCGACGCAAAGATCATTCCAGTCCTGCTCTCGCTCCAGGTTGACAACGTCAGATCTTCTGCCCACACACATGTACAACGTAACACACCATCAGCTGAGCTACACACAGGAACCCTGGATGTTGACAACCCACCGCATACCGTTCACGTCGTCCAGCACGCGATACCGAAGCCGAACTTCGGCTGCCTCTCTGCGCTTCTTGCGTGCCCACGGGCTTTTCCTGTCTCGCTCGTTGCGCCATAGGCCAATGCGCGGCAGCGCAATCTCTCGAACGCGGCCCGTCACCTCTGTCTTCCACTGGCTGAGTGCCTTGTTCAGGTCAGCGCATCGCGCCTTGTCAGCCGCCAGTGCGAGCCCCGCATAATTCATCGTCAATCGTGGTATGACCCGGCATAATCCAAGCGTCTTGTCGTGGCTGCTTGGGTAAAAGGTTATGACATCATTGGCCCGCTCGATGAACAGGAACTCCCGCACATGGTCGCACGTTCTCTGCCATGTCCACGACACGGCACACACCAAGGTTTGCCACAGAACAAGAACGCACAAACAGCAGCGCGGCAGACATTAGACCACCCGCAATGCATATTTTTGAGTATGTGTCCCCATGTCCTAGGGCGCTCACCTTCCATGCTTTGCCGGACGGCAGGAAATCAAATGCCTCCTGAAGTATGGGTGAGCTCAACACTGTCATATAGCGCCGCCGGACCACACGGCGTGCCCTCACTGGCTCCGCCTCCGCATCTTCTTCCTCTCCCTCCTCCGATGTCGCGTCCTCCGAGCCCGATTCGACCCGCCTGCGCTTGCGCGGCCGCGCATCTCCCTGCGCCCGTTCCTCCCTCGGACCCCTCGGCCTCTTGTTATGCGTTTCCCTCTCGTTTATGGCCAGCAGTAGCGCCTCCAGCCGCGCAATCTGACACTCGCCCTCGTCTCTCGCCGTCTTCAGCGCCTCGAGGTCGGCGCGGCTAATCACGACGGCGTCATCACCAACCGTCTCATCCCGACGAGATCCACTTGCCGGCTGCGCAGATGCGCAGGGCATTGCCTCAAAGGGGTTGTCAGCCACCGGTTTAGGCGGAGACGCCGCAGCCTTTCCTTTTGCCGCGCTAGGCTCTTCGGCCATAACGGAGGCAACAGCCTTGGATCGGACAAGCGCAGCCTCCCCTTCGCCATCGCTACCCACATCCTCATTGTCAGAATGTTATGCTCTAGCCTGTAGTGGGGTGCTCTATAGCAAGTACAGCTCTTCTAGGGTTTGCTATTTGTATCCTCATTCCTGCTAGTGAACCCCCTCTTTGCCTAAACTGTTTCTTGCCTAGCTAGGGCTTTCCTAGCTATGGCGCCTTCTTCTACTACTTATTTTCACATGGTATTGGAGCAATATGCTCCTGGCCTGTGGGCCCCACCTCACTGCTTCCGCTGCTACTGCTACTCTCTGTGTTGCACGCCCTGTGGCGTGCAACAGATTTTTCATCCCGCCACGCGCTCGGAGCGTGTGGCGGTTTTCTGCCCGCCATGCGCCCCGACGCGCGCGGCGGTTTTCTGCCCGCCATGCGCCCCGAGGCGCGCGGCGGTTCTCTGCCCGCCGTGCGCCCCGAGGTGCGCGGCGGGTTTTTGCCCCGTCACGCAGTGCGTCGCTCTCGGGAGGCGCTGCGACGGGGGACGGGGACCCGCGCGTCGCCCCCCGTCGCCCGTCGTGGCCTGTGCGCGGCCCGTACAGCCTGCGCGCGGCCCGTACGGGCTGCGCCAGGCCCGCGCGCGGCCAGTACGGGCTGCGCCAGGCCCGCGCGCGGCCCGTACGGGCTGCGCCAGGCCTGCGCGCGGCTCGTACGGGCTGCGCCAGGCCCGCGTGCGGCCCGTACGGGCTACGCCAGGCCCGCGCGCGGCTCGGGCCGCCTGCGCGCGGTTCGGGCGGCTGTGCCAGGCCCGTGGGCGGCCCGTTCTTCGCTGCCCCTGCGTTGCCCGCTGTCCCCCGTGCTTCTGATGGCGCCCCACCCCTGCTACTGCCCGTTCTCGTGAATTAGGGTTTGGGGGTGGGGGGCATGGGGGTGCAGCTTCTGTGTGCCGTCCCCTGCTCCACCTCCTCCTCCGTCTCCCAGTGCTGCAGCTGCCGCTGAGGGGGGTGGACCTGTTGGAGCCGTCGAAGTGGTACTAAGGGGGGTGAAGGGGGAGTGGAGCTAGGGGTGAAGCAGGGGGTGTGTGTAAGGGGGGGTGGGACTGTTTGGGGAAGTTGAACGAAGGTTGCCGTCGTGTCGCCAGCAGCACCTGTAGTCCGGGGAGTTGCTCCGGTAGCCCAGTCGTAGCCACCTGTGCCAGTCGCCCGTGGGTCCGTTGCTCGTCTGCCGCTACTTTTAGCCGTGGGGCCAGTTACTCCAGTAGTCCGGAGCGTTGTTCCGGTAGCCGCTGTGCCAGTGTGCCTCCTGTTGCCCGTGTGTCTGCAGCTTCAGTCGTCGCCTCCTATCTCCTCTCCTCTTACAGTCTCGCCTCCTCCTCCTCACTTGCCCTCTGCGATAGCCTCTAGCTTTGCTCATAATTGTGAACTTTAAACTATTGCTTCTTGTACTTGTGCTCAGAATGTGTGGTGACATTGTGATCCACCTTGAGCTTGTTCTGCTTTGCTTGCTCTGCTGATTACACCCCACTTTGGCTATGGGGGTGTGTCGGAATGTTATGCTCTAGCCTGTAGTGGGGTGCTCTATAGCAAGTACAACCCTTGTAGGGTTTGCTATTTGTATCCTCATTCCTGCTAGTGAACCCCCTCTTTGCTTAAACTATTTCTTGCCTAGCTAGGGCTTTCCTAGCTATGGCGCCTTCTTCTACTGCTTATCTTCACACTCATCGCCCGCACCGACGCTAGACGCGACCGCCGCATTCGGCGAGACTTGCGATGCACCATGGGCCGCACTAGCCACACCTGAGCGCAATGTTCAAGCAACACATGCGAGTCACATCAGAGAACAAGGAAACTCCGTAATGGTGAACATGCGCTGAAAGCAGGGCGGCAAAAGCAACGTGACGCAACTGAATCCCCACGCGTTGTACCTTCTACTGGGACACACTTCTGCTTTTCAACCCTAGGCCGCTTGTATTGCCCCGCGTTGCCTCGCACACATTTGACTTCACGTGTTCGTTTACCGGTCAACTTATACTCCTTTCGCAGATACTCAGGCGGTCGTTTGGGCCTACGCGACCGGCCTGCGGGCAATTCCTCCGACGTCCCCAAAGAAGTCTCCATTCCCGAAAGTCAAACCTAAACAACTTCTGCTACCGCACACCATGTAGTGAAAGTATGCGCATTCCGGCTGCAAGCCCTCTCAGTTGCAGGTATGCGCACAGGATGTAACGTCTCAATCGCCAAAGGGCGTGCGCAGGTCCGCAATCTCGTCAGCCAATCGGAGACGGTATACTGTTGCATCACCGATCTCAAGACACGCGTGAGCCACTCATTGTATCCCTCGCGATCCTACCCATCCACATCACCCACTCAACTGCCTTTGCAAATATGGCTGTCACACAAGCGCGGAGCCGTTTGTATTCGTTACACAATCGACATGAACCCAACGCCCAAATAGACTATATCATGCATAGCTACAAAGTAGGTATCACCTAATCTACTATATCATGAATTGACACAAAGTAGGTATCACCTGTCAGCAGATCTGCACTGTGGATGCCCGATAGATCCTGGAGAGAGTTACAGGCGCGTTCGCCTGGGGGGGTTATGGGCGCACTAACCCGCTACTGAAACAAGCCCTTTTATCCCAATGGTCTAGTGGTTGGGATTCTGACATGGTATCAGAGCGGTCTCGGGTTCGTTTCCCGGTGTATGCACATGTAGGCCGTTGCCACTGTGCTGAGTCCTGGGCCTCCCAGTGTGGGGGGGTGTTAGTAGATCTGCACTGTGGATGCCCGATTGATCCTGGAGAGGGTTACAGGCGCGTTCGCCTGGGGGGTTATGGGCGCACTAAACCGCTACTAAAACAAGCCCTTTTATCCCAATGGTCTAGTGGTTGGGATTCTGACATCACCTACTCCGGCTACAACAGGCAAACAACTTCACTCCACAATCACTCCATCTTCACCGCCTCTAGGTCTTTGTCGAACAACGCCCCCTCAAATGCATCTCCCAGAGCCACCTCCGTCCTAATACCCTCGTCCGCCACACCACCCATCGCTGCAGCAGCGTCCTCATTGAGTTCATGAGGTGTGCCCCGCCCGGCCGTTCCCTCTGCGTCGCCCAACCCTTCCCCATCCAACTCAATCACCTCATCTCCTTCCTCCACGGCACATCCAGCTGCATCCCCCGCATCATCGTCTTGCGAGTCGGAGTGCTCATCGCCGTCCCCTGCTGTCTCCTCCTCCGTGCAGTCCACTAGTGTCGTCTCCCACTCCTGCCATCGGAACCACTGACGGCTCCTAACCAGCCGCTTGACAGCTGCCAACGTGCACCCCTCCAGCATACCCTTCTCCTCATCCGTCAGCTCCACCGTGCCTGACACGCGCTTACCATCTTTGACCACGTGCACCGCTGCTGCGTACGTCGTGGCAGCCTCCAGCTCCTTATTGTACACACCCAGCCTCATCTGCGTCCGCTTCTTCTTATTCTTCTCTCGGAACAGAATCTTGGCGCTCCACCCTGCGCACACCCTTGTACTGTGAACTACGACCTTGTCCCTTACCCTTGCTCTTGCAAGCAGTAGCGCCGCCCTCAGCATCCGCCCCCGACGCATGCGGGTCTTCTCGTTTCCTCTTTGCCGGCATAGCCAGCACCACGGGCCTTGCTCCACATGCATGAGCCACCGCCGGCTCTGCCTGGTGCGTGACGTGCATACTTCCCTCTGTGCCGTTTATCGACCACCTCGGAGCGGCAGGCACGGGTAGCACGCAGGGGCTGGGATGAACCACCCCTAGCTCGACTGTGCCACTGCCTGCACCGTCCAGTGCTACGCTCTTAGCAGATCCTCCTTTGGAACCGGGGCTGTCGGTAGTGCAAGGCCGCGCTGCTGCACGGGGGTTGGGGGTGGAGGGTGCAGTGGACCGGCTGCCCCCAGGTGTCGCCGCGCCCCCTTCAGAACCTTGCGCCTGCAAGACGTGTGCAGCTGTTGCAAGGAGTTGATCGACACTGTAACCCATCGCCGCTCCGACGGCGGTGACTGCTGCTTTCCAGATCGCAAGATCCCTCTTCATGCCGTAGTGCTCCACCTGCATCCGTGTCAACTTTGTATTGTGATCCTCCACTCCAGAATCCACGACGGCTCCATGCTTAGTGACCCTAGCCGCGGGTTGATTAGGTACGACCACACCCATCTTCACCAGCGCCGGTATAAGGTCAGAAGCCGCATGCATGCATAGGTCGGCCCGCATGCCGCGCCGGAACTCCGTCGCACTCATGCCCTCCAGGTACAGGTACGAGCGCAAATTCTTGAAATCAGTATCCACAAGGACTTTCATATAGTGGCATACAAAAATGCCACAGTCGTGTTTGTTGTCCTGCTGCTGCACCTTATGTTTCTGCACGCACGTTAGAGGCCACAACATGCCGTTACCACACGCTGACATAGTGTGTCAACACATCTCAGTTTGGGGAGCAGGACCCACCTTCATGGGAAGCGGCTTCGCATCTCTCAGTGTGTTCACGAGAGTCGTTGCGTCACACTGAGGGTGTAGGGCCTTGGCGGTTAGTTCCAATAATTTGGAACGCAAGAAATCCGGACATTTGGTCAGACATTCTCGTAGTGTATTGTCGAATTCACTAACACGCCCACAGATGTATGCAGCAGCTTACCGTTTGACGCCATCAAACACCGTAGGGTCGTCACGGTGCGTGCCATAACTGTCGAGAAGAATCAGTTCCAGAGGTCCAGTCACTTCCTCAGACGTTCCTCCCAGCAGTCTCTTAGGGCACGGAACTATCATAAGCGAGTAGTGTGAGCTGCAACATATCGCATAAAACAGGCACGCGCGTCATATTATTGCAGCGACTCGTGCCGCCCTGAATGAAAACCAAAGCGTTCAATCAACAGCACGCACCTCTTGAAGACGGGAATGGCCAAGAAGTCAACGTAAAAAACTCTGGACCCATTGCCCATAAAGTATGGCTTGCCGAAAGTGTTCACGTAGTCGAAAGCCTTGCTGTCGACCGCGGCCCAAGAAGTGCCGTTGGGCGTAGTGGGTTGACGGATGCTCAACAGTCTGCGCGCAGTCAGGCGATTGTCCAGTCAAGGAACGGGTGACAATCATGGACACAAGGCAGGCCATGACACATCGCCTTAAAAAAACCGACGAAATCGCTCACACGTTGTGGAAGTCCACGATCGCGTCGGAGACACACTTCCCGTCAGCGATGGTTATAATGTCTGACGCCTCCACGACACAACCAACGCCATCCGCGTTGAACAGCGTCATTTGCTCCATCTGTTGTGGTTGCTTGGCAGTCCGTAAGCGATAGACCAGATCATGCGGCTTGGGAAGTTCCGTCTCCGTCTCCAGCTTCGTCTGGTACCGCTGGGCTAGGAGTTTGCTGCCGACCGAGTCGATGCCTTCTTTAAGAGCTGTGTTGCCGCTGGTCGATTGCCTCCTTCCGCTACGGAGGGAGCGCACAATAGCACTGACATCCGTCACGTCTCCGTCGCCCCTTGCGTCGCCCTCCTTAGCACCGCGCGTGGACCTGCCCTTGGAAGCACACTGCTTGTTGCGGGCGCGCCTAAGAGGAGACATGTCTACGATCGTTCGTCAAGCTCAAGGAAAACTGCGCAAAGGTAATGAGGGAGTATGCTGGAGTGCCCGTCCTATGAAAAGAAGGTTGATTCAACCTCACACTTTAGAGGGGACGTTTTGGCAGGACATCGAGGGTGAGAGGGGGCGTTGATGACGATGTGTGGATCTGAAGTACTTGTGGCGCGAACTCATAAGTGCATGCCATTTGTCGCGTCACCGTGACATGCACATCATGTCATGGCATGCACTTCGCGTATTCGTTATGAACGAATACGATGTACGCACATTGCATTTTGTGCGTGTTCTAGGCTTACGTGATTCCTAGCGAGAGTCATTGACCCGCATGGGATCCGATAACCACAGCCGACCTAGCCGAGCGGTGTACTCGATGATTTCAACAAATGACTCGCATATGTTAGACAGCATGACCTGTATACAAACAGGTCATGCGTTTATAACGTGCACACAGTGAGTGTGGATTTCTTTCGCGCAAAGGTATACTAACTCCGATGACCCAAAGTTAAGGTTTGCGGTGGTATCATGGGTGGCAACGTGTGCGGGGGGTGCAGAAAAACGTTTCGTGACGACAACAGGCTGCAGTCGCACTTGGCTAGAAGCGCGGCATGCAGGGAGGCGATTCTCGGTCGTGGTAGAGCCCTCCTCGCAGAGGCATATCTGGAGGCCCGTCAGGTGTTTTTCCGCATCCCTGCCCATACACCCGCCGCCACTGCCGCCAGCGCTGGCACCAGCGAGAGGACGGCGGAGAAGAGACCAGCAGCTCCTACAGCCGCCGAGGTAGAAGCTAGTGATGATGACGACCATTCTACCTATAGTGAGCAGAGTTCGGACGGGGAGATCTTTGACACTCTCACCGCAATATATCTGTTCATTAGGGACGCGGACCTCTCGCGGCGCGAGGTCAACCGATTGCTGCATATCTTCAGAAATCCGCGATTCAACCTGCGTGCATTGCGTTGCTGGCGCAATTGGCTTGACGTGAGGCGATGGGGGGAAGCCAGGGCGCCGCCAAACATGATACCGTGGCTGTGCGAGGAGATAGTGGTCAGAGGGCCTTGCGGTCAAACACAGAAGCTCCCCCTGCATTATCGGAACACGGAGGAGGTACGTGCAATATGTTATGAGCGTAATATGCATCCTGAGGGGGTGCTGCATACTGATGTTGATGGTACACGCAGTCACAGCAAGCTTTGACTCCTACGCAGCTCGTGAAGAAGCTCGTGCGCATCTTTGGCGGCGTCTAGGGGCTCGTTACAAAGCCACGGGTTGTTGTTGACCCCAACACAAACGAGCGGATTTACTCCGGCCCTGAGACGGCAAAATGGCTGGAAGAGGCTTAGGTATGCGATGATTCTCCAGAGGACATGCCCCGCTGCGCTGATGTTTTGGCAGACGTACTCAAGAGCACGAGTTTGTATGTGGCAGAAGGAGGTGAACGACCCATCAGCCTGGGTGATTGGCGTCATTGTCTACAGCGACGGCACCAACGCAACACGCAATGGGCGCAGGCCATTGCATGCCAATGTTGGCCGCAGAGTTGGGTGCTTGCTGTCACTGACCGCATCTTTGATTTGCGTGTTCGTTTCTCCGACGGGACGTGGCATGATCGACCGGCTGGTCGAGATTTTGCCGCAGGCGTATCCGGATCATGCATCGCATTGGCGCTTTCCAAAGATTACATGATTGTCCGCATGCTGGACAATGTGATCATGCGCGGAATGCCGCACCACTACAGCACGGAGATGTGGGAGCATACCCACAAGGGGACGGTCAAGATCCCGGTCAGGGGCAGCAACTGGAAGGACATCCCCCGACGCATCGTGGAGGAGGAGGTGCAGAGAGAGATCTGCAGGGAGGTGGCACAGGACGCGGGTGGCGGGCGTGAATATGCGACGGCGCTGCGCGAGGTGAGACTGTGCGTAGCATATCCCTTGCATGACCGTATGATCGTTGGACACGTCAATACCGCGTGACTTGTCCGCGGACACGATCGCAACATACTCTTTGCCTTCCACACCCGCAGGCTGTTGAGACGATGAAGCCCGTGCTCACGAGGAAGGGACTCACAATGCGGCCGGCGGAGGAGGGAGATGCGGTGATGGGTACCTACCGTACGGCACTTGGCGACCTCATGGATGCGCTACCAGGCAGCATGGTGGCTGCCAAGATCACCGCATCTGAGGTCGTGGTGCGTACACATGTGCAAGTGTATCCTCCACCAAGGTTGCTGTTGTTGAGTGCTTAGGCTCCGTATGTGTGCGTATCGAGTATACACCCGATCTTGCTCCTTATCCCAATGCCCCACTCATGCAGGCCCACACCGCGGTGGCGATTCCGCGCACCAAAGGCGGAGCACTGGTCCCCAAGGGGGCGTTCATCAAGGCAAGCCCCAAGGAGAAGTGGTTCACTGACTTTGCAATGAAGTCAGGCAAGAAGGAGGAGTGGTATGCGAAGGCGCTGTGTATTTTCAAGGTGGCGACGACAGAGGGCGACCGGAAGGGGTTTGTGTACATGCGGTGGTATGAGAGGGCAGGCATATGCCCCCTCACCACCTGCGTGCAGTTGACACCGTCACGCAAGGACACAAGGCACGCAGTGATTGAGGTGGAGAGCATTCTGCGAGTTGTGCACATTTGCCGCTCTTTCAGCAACCCTGCAGTGTTGCTGCTGAACAAGTTTCTTCTGTGTGAGTGATTTTGAGGTGAGGGTGTGAGGAGGCGTTTGAGGGTTGTGGTTTGCATATGCTGCAGTTATTTTCACAGCTAGCTACTCAAACTGTAAACTTACACGCCCTAGTCGCATGATGAAAGACCGGTTGTCACTTGGGCGATCTAGAGACCGACACATAGAGCGCCATGACCGCAACTGTAGTGCCGTGGTGTTTACATGCTTATGCGATCTTTGTAGCTGTTATTTGAACACTCTAGTTTCTTTGAATGGTGAGTGTACTTAACTTATGCGAGACGATGGGGTATGCTGTATTGCGCACTGAGTGAAACTGCAAACCCCCCTGGGGGGCGCGGTTTGGTGTTGCAAGTTACAGGTACGTGGCACGCCCGCGTTCCGGCGAGGGACGGAGTCACGGTTGGGGCGTGGGTGTAATCAGAAAGACGCACAACCATTGGTGCGCAGGTTCGTATCATTGGTGGACACTATTGGGGGGTGTACCAAGTGCGATTGCTTCCTGGGTACGGGGTTCCAATGGTATGCTGATGTGGCACAAGTGTGGCCTCAGTTGTTAATACAGCAAGAACCGCGAAGCACAAAGAAACCCATGCACTTGCCGGGATTGTGTTTCACCCAGCGTTGCAGCATACTTTTTTGAAGAAATGGCGTCCCTGGTATCCCTCCTTGAGGCACTGAATGCACCGCCCGAAAAGGTGTTCACTTTCACGGAGTTTCCGTTAATCCCCACACGGGTGCCGTTAGGCACGTGTGTGGACGAGCGTGAGCAGCTGTCGCGGGAATGGCACATGCCCGTATGCTTTGTGTACAACGCCATAGGACGTGTCCGCAAACCGCCGATCGTTGTTCTACGACGGGACGACAAGAGGCCAGTACATGAGGGGCGCAAGAAGAATCATGACGTGAAAGTGCGCTACGCCAAGAATGGGCGCTTTTCTAGCGAGGTGAGCGGGTTCAAAGCTGGGGTTTGTAGGTTGATCGTCGTTGTTTATGAGGTGCAATTTTGGTGGCCATCGTTCTGTACTCATGTTGTCACCACGGACATCCGCCGTGTTGTGTGCGCAGTTGTTCACTGAGTTCGTCGACGAGTTAAACGGGGAGTTGCATGCGAAGAACGAGAAGGCGGTGGTGCTGGTGCACAACCCTTCGCACACCCTCACCGGGTGTGTGAAACGGACAAGCACGGTGGAGGGGTTTGTCGTGGAGGAGTTGACACGGGTGAAGGTTGTGCAGACATTTGGCTTGATGCCGGCTGCTGCGTTTTCTGCGATAAATGGTGTTGTGGACACATGGAAGGCAGTTTTCCGGACGTGGTTTCTGCGAACGGCTGTCACGAGAACGGAGTGGACCCGTGCGGGCATTTTTCCACGGCCGCCGCGGCACGATGTCCTGTACAAGCTGTTCATGGCGTGCAAGTTGACGATGCCGGGGACAATCCAGAGGATTTGGTGGCGGGCCGGTAGCGTGCCGAAGGGCTGGCTGTCGCGGATGGACAGCTTGAAAGGGAAAGTTGCGGCAGGGATGTTTGACGGTCTGGTGCTGCAGTTGACAAGTCTGCAGCTGGTGATTGAAGAGTTCAAAGGCAAGTGCAGCAGCACGGCGTTTATGACGGCGTGGGATTTCGTGGGGTGTGACGAAGGCCTTATTGAGAAGTGGGCGCCAGCGAGGGGTTTGGAGGACGAGTCCGAGGATGAGATTCCGGCATATTTTTGCATTCCGGAGGGGCCGCTAATGCGAGACAGCCGTAGCTGTCGCTGCGTGAGCCGCATGGTCCATGATGGTTTTGTGAAGCAGGCGGAGGCATTGGGTATTCCACCGCGCGACGTGCCAGAGGAGGCCGGAGTGGTGAATGAGGAGGTGGTGAGCCGCCTTCGACGCACGCCCACTAAGCGCAACCGGACGGGCCGCTCTAGTGATGAGGGGATCACGTCTGACGCGTCGGATGAGGCAGGCCAATCCTGTGATGAGAAACGAGAATGAGTGCATAGAGCAGAATGAGGAGTACAAGTGGTAAACCCTAAAGTGTTGTACCCCATATGAACTGCCCCACTACAGCCTACACAGACTATAGCATATATGCCTGACACACCCCCATAGGCAAAGTGGGGGAGAACAAGGGGTCACAAGACCAGTCAAGCAAAGCAAGGCAAGCTCAGGGTGGATCACAACGTCACCACACAGTCCGAGCACAAGAGCAGGGCCACAAGGCCAGTTCACATGCAAGATCATATCTATAAAGGTAAACAAGCAAGTGCAGGTATAGAAAGAGTACAGTACAAACAAGGTCAGGAAGTGAGCAAATGAGGCCAAGTAGGCACAAGACCTAGCATAGCACAGAAGCGCTGATGATCACAAGGCGGAAGGGCCTTGGTAAAGATATCAGCAGTGTTGGCCTCAGAGGCCACGTAGGTGAGGCAAAGCTGACCACGCTGCTGCAGCTCACGAGCCAGGAAGTAGCGAAGAGCAATGTGCTTCGTTCTATGCTCCAATCTGTGCTCCCGACACAAGGCCAGCATGGCCTTGTTGTCTACGTACAGCACTAGAGGAGAACGAGGCGGCTCTCCTAGGTCAGTCAGCAGGTAGGTGAGCCAGCGCAGCTCCTGTGCAGCCATGGCCCCCGCGTAGATCTCAGCCTTACAGCTGGAGGTGAGAACAGAAGACAAGCGGGTAGACTGCCACAAAACAGAGCCGGAGCCAAGGCTGAAGGTGTAACCCTGTGACGACCGCTGTGTCGGCTGGTCGTCAGCCCAAGAAGCGTCTGCGTGAGCAATGAGGACCACTCGGCGTCGCCCTCCAAGCCCTAGCCCCATGCCCGACGTACTGCACACGTAGCACAACACCCTCTTTGCCGCAGCCATGTGCTCTGGTCGGTGTCTCCCAGGAGCAACATAGCGTGCCAAGATGCTACGACGGTATGCAAGGTCAGGTCGTGTGCAGGTCATCAGGTACATGAGGCAGCCAACAAGCTCTGGGTACGGGCCACTCGGCTCTACGGACTCATCCGAAGGCAGAGCTGAGAGCGAGTGGCGAGTAGACAGAGGAGTGGCCTGAGGCGAGGAGTACGTGAAGTCGAAGCGCTGAAGGACCTGCTGCACCATGTGAGACTTAGTCAGGGTAATGGTGCGCTGTGCTCTGTCCCGGGTGATCTGCGAGCCAAGGTAGCTGCGCAGTTCACCCAGGTCTGTGCACGTGTGTCTCTTCTGCAGCTCAGACTTCACGTGGGCGAGTCCAGCAGTGTCAGCAGTGACAAAGACCAAGTCGTCGATGTACACGAGGATGTAGAACGGCGGCAAAGAGGTGTCGGTGCGCAGAAACAGCGACGGGCCGGCTGTAGAAGGAGCAAACCCAAGAGCCGCAAGTGTAGTCCTCAGTGTGTCGTGCCACTCACGTGGCGCCTGGCGGAGACCATAGACTGGCCGCCGGAGGCTCCACTGGGTACCAGGAGGAAACAACCCAGTGAAGCCAAGTGGGCGGCGCATCCAGATCTCCTCATGCAGACTGCCCTGCAGGAAAGCAGTGCTGAAGTCAAGAGAGTGAAGCTCGTAGTCGCGCTGAGCGGCTATGTGCAGCAGCACCCGAAGAGTGGTCATCTTCGGGGTGGGAGAGAAGGTCTGAAAGTAGTCAACTCCCTGCCGCTGACTGAAGCCTCGAGCCACGTAACGCGCCTTGAAGATAGGCGGAGAACCCGGCGGCCGCTTCACCCTGAAAATCCACATGCCACTGACGATGTTCGCCCCAGGTGGGGGAACCTCGTCGACGTAGGTGCCTGTGGACTTCCAGGAAGCCATCTCTGCGTCCATGGCTGACTGCCATTGAGAGGAGTAGGGACCCTCGATCGCCTCAGCGTACGATCGAGGAGTCGGGATGTCTGGTGCATCCGAGTCTCCCTCAGGGGAAATCAGCGTGGACACGAGATGAGGCAAAGCAGCAGCAAAACACTGGAACTCCTCCTGCCTGTCCTCAAGGACGTCCGTGCTAAGAGCACACCCACCCCCGACGGACGGAGGACAGACAGACTCGGACTCAGCAACAAGACTAGTGGCGTAGTCTAGACGACAGCGAGCAGCGAAGTCGACAAGCTCAGCCACTAAGGCAGACGCAGTAGTGGACTCAAAGGATTGGTCAGTGACAATAGTGGCCAGGAGACGCGTGACAGTAGGACTGGCAGCACGAAGAAAGTCAGACTCAGGGTCAGGAAGGATAGGAAGAGAGGACTCTGGAGGAGACGGCAACGGGACACGAAGGGGAGCAGTGGGAGGACGCAGTGCCATCTGGTGTGTGCCCGGAACCGCAGGAGGACGCGGACGCGGAACACGAAGACTAGTGCGAGCAGTGCAAACAGGCGACGCAGGACAAGACGCAGGCTCACGACGCTCAGCAAGACCTCCAGTTGGACCAGTGTAGGGAGAAGGAGCAGGTAGAGGGGAGGCGGGCTGTAACTGTGACTGCGACTGGACAGGCTGTGGACACTCTAAGGGAGGAGCAGGACCAGTAGAAGGCGGGAGACCAAGACCCTGCTCAAGGAGCGGAACGAAGTACGGCCGTAGCCGCACAGCGCCTCCAAAACCAGCAGGGACAGCACAAGTACCCCCAGTGGCGGCACAAGCGCCAGCAGCACCTCCAGCTCCAACAGCGCCAACTCCAGCACCCTCAAACGCACAAGCGCCAGCAAAACCACCAGCGCCAACACCCCCAGCAGCTCTAGCTCCAGCAGCTCCAGCAGCACCAGCTCCAGCAGGACCGGCAGCTCTAGTACCGCCAGCAGTTCCAGCACGACCAACTCCAGCAGCCCCAGTAGCACCCCCAGGCCCAGCACCTCCAGCACCGCCAGTACGAGTACCTCCGGGACCAGTAGCAACAGTAGTACCTCCTGCTCCAGCAGCACGGCTCCAGCGCCAGGCAAACCACTCGCGCAGCTCTTGTGGAGAGAGTGGCTCTCGCCTCGACGAAGCACCGCCGGCGGCCACACGAGCAGACCCAGCGCCCTCAGGCTCCGCACCCCCAGACTCCGCACCCCCATGCTCCACACCCCCAGGCTCAGCACCTCCAGACTCAGCACCCCCACACTCAGCACCCCCAGTCTCAGCACCCCCAGGCTCAGCACCCTTAGACCCGGCACCCGCAGGCTCAGCACCTCTAGCAGCAGCAGAGTCAACACCTACCTTGACACGCTCGACTGCGTCTACCTGGGACACACCTGACGGGGCAGGACCCTGAGGGTGGAGGGGGTCTACCGGGGGAGGACCTGGTGCAAGGAAGAGCTGCGGCCGGGGAAGGGGCGCGGCACGGTAGGGGAAAAGACGGTAGTAAGGCACCGACTCGTCAAAGGTGACGTCTTGGGAGGACAGAACACGGCGCAAGGCGGGGGGGTAAAACTGCCAACCAGGCGCGTCAGGGGGGAAGCCAAGGAAGACGCAAGGAACAGCACGGGGGGACAGCTTGTCCGCAGACAAGTCGCGGACAAACGCCCGAGATCCCGAGACCCGAAACGCAGACACATCGCCAACCTTCCCCGTCCACCGCAAGGTGGGGGAGGTCTCTGGCAAGGAGACCCGGGGCTGAAGGTTGAGCTGATGCGCCGCGTGCTGAACCGCAAACGGCCAGAGAAAATGGGGGGCAGCCGCATGGATCATGGACGTACGAGCGACGTCCATGACCATGCCAATGCGGCGCTCAGCAATCCCATTTTGCTGTGGAGAGGCCAGAAGCGTGAAGGTCTGGCGGATGCCCTGTGCACGACACAAGGCTCCCAGACGGGCAGAGGAAAACTCCCCGCCTCTGTCAGAGTGCAGACGCAGAACACGAAAGTCGGAGCCGGAACTCTCTCTGAGCTGGAGACGAGTTGCGCGGATCCAGTCGATCAACACCTCAGTGACGTCGCCCTTGCTGCGCAAGGGGAAGACCATGGTGTAACGCGAGTAGTCGTCAACCACCAACAGGAAGTAACGCTCGTGACCCTGGCCACGGACGCGGGCGGGGCCCCACACGTCCATGTGAAGAGTCGGCAACGGAGCCTATGTCGGAGGAAACTCGGAGGAGTGAGGGGCGGCGCGCTGTCGCCCCTCGACGCAGGGGACGCAGGTAGGGGCAGGCCCCGGAGGTAGAGGAGGGAGAGACCGGGGGAGACCAGAGACAAGGACACGGGAGGCCATGCCTCGGAGACGAGGCAGGGAGGGGTGACCAAGGCGGTGGTGCCAAAGGAGAGTCTGGTAAGACAGGAGACGACACGAGCAGGGAGCAGACTCAGGACTAGACCTGGACGCTGCAGCAAACCCCTGACTCGACGCAGCGACCTGACCAGGCTCAGCAGCCGGAGGAGACTCAGTAGTGAGGGTGTACAGGCTCGACCCCGGCCGACGGGTGAACGTGGCCAAGTGTTTGCCTGTCCGAGCACACGTGCAGTGGGTCACCCGCTGACTCGGAGGAGTGAACTGGTCAACCCCCCTATCCTGTAGATCAGCGCCACTCACCAAGTTCGTAGAGAACAAGGGGAGGTAGAGACCTGACAGGGTGCCAGAGGGGGCTGCCAGACACGGTAAGACAGTGGAGAAACGAGCAAGGACAGGACCCCCAGAGGGGTCCGCTAGGGAGACCGCAACCGGCCGACTAAGCGGCGTAAGTGTGGTGCGGTCTCGAAAGAAGGAGCGGGAAGCACCCGAGTCAAGGGGGAAGGTGTGTAAGGCCTGAGCCGACGTGGTACCTGAGAGGGCAGACTCACCAGCACCTGGGGCAGCAGACGCGCTAGCACCTAGAGCAGCAGCCTCACCAGCACCTTGAGCAGCAGTCTCAATGCCCGGGTCAGGCGGAACACACAGGTAACAGTCACCCTCATAACTATCAGCAACAGCATACATGGCAGTAAGAATAGCATCAAAGTCAAGATCAAAGATAGCAACCCCCGCCCTAGACAGCTCTCCCCAGCGAGGGATCTCAGAGGCCTCAGGGAACTGGTGACGCCACGCATCCATCAAGCGGCCGAA